ATTTTTGTTTTATATTCCCAATTTTAAGGAATATAAAGAATTTTCCGGCGCAAAACTATTTTCCTGGAAAATAGATTGAAAACATGGGAAATGCCGCTCATTACATATAATATCATAACTGTTATTTGAGTTACAATATAATAGTTTATTAATAGTAATAAATTATTAATAGTAATAAATTATTAATTTATTAAAAATATTAAATGTAAAACGTGTAAAATGCACACTCAAAACAAATATTCTATAATTTGAATGAATTTACAGTATTTATTGCTAAAATATAATGAGAATATATTTGTGTATAATAGAGGTATGATGCAAATTGCACGTTACTTAATTTTGTTAGAATAAAGTTACAATATATTCTGCATGGTTAAAATAATATGGAATTTAACTTTTATGGTATATGTTATGTCATATTGCAGTTGATTTGACAGACAATATATGAAGTGAAAGAATTGCTATGGATTAACAAATTGTGTCTTTATTTCAATACATATTCTTATACTTTCTTAATCTTACATTTCTTTGCTTTTCTCAAATGTAATCAAATATATCATTAATGAATGACAGGACGAAGAGATCATACATTCATGGCTTTCAAGAATCCATTTTGAAGAATATGTAAACAACTTTATCCGCGCGGGTTATGACATGCCCACCATCTCGAGAATGACACCTGAGGTCTGTTCCACTTTGCATTCATATTATTATTACCGAACAATTCCCTAATTATCCTCTATTATCACTAAAACAACTACTATTTGCGTATCTCTATATAAATTAGTATATATTTAGCATGCTCATTTTAGCTATTTATTTAATAATTACTATAAATTGTCCAATTATTGATGTCACCTCACTTTAATGCTATTGTTTTAATGTAATTATAACACCATTTAAATCTATTTCTATACCGGTACATTAAAATTGTGAATAGGAAATGAATATGTTGTGTACTTAAAATAATTTGATGTTTTGTTAATGTGTTTTAATTGAAAATTATGGTAACAATGAATGCATTTTGAATATAGGATTTGACGGCAATTGGAATAACAAAACCACAAAAGAGACAAATTCTGAAGACAGAGATTCAAAAACTGAGTATCGCTGACGGCATCCCATCTTTCAAACCAGTGAGTAGTGAAGTGAACACTCGATTGAAACAATAGTTAACATGTAATGTCTATATAGAGCTCACTGTTGGAGTGGTTGAAGATATTGCGTTTGGAGGAGTACTTTGCGATTCTGTGTCAACAGGGATACGACTCGATCGATAGGGTGACTGAGTTGGCCTGGGAGGACCTCGAGGAGGTCGGCATCACTAAACTTGGTAATGATCTGCTCATTACTTTGAATTCATATCGATTTACACAAATGGTTTACTCAATGGATTACTCAATGAATTTTTGATTCTTTAGGCCATCAAAAGAAGATAATGTTAGCCATAAAAAGGATACAAAATGTTAACAACAATATAAGTCGTTCGCAAGTGTCAGACACTCCGCATAATTTGTCGCTTCCATTGATATATAGTAACAATAGTAGTTGTAATGGCTTAACGCGTGCACACAATAATGGCTTTCAAATGCCAGCGAATACACAGTTTCAGGACACGGTTCCCATAACGATGTTCGCACCGACCAAATCCAGTCCTTCGCCCACCACTGAACAGCCCATAACTCCACAGTTGAAGACTTTCCAACAGTTGCCTAACAATGGATTTATGTTTAGTAGACAACGAAGCGAAGCCCCATATTTGGCCTTTGCATCCAATGATACACAAAACCCTTTCCTTCAATCATCTCGCGGACGATCTCTCGAGAGTCTGGATAACAATGAAAGCAATTTCTATCAAATGTATACAAAACAAAGTAATGCTTTCAACGGATTCCCAAAACAAACCCCGTTTTGCGGCAATGAGTCCTCTATTAGAGAGTGCGACCAAATTCATGGCTACGAAACGGACAACGAAGTGATGAACAGTTATGCAAACCATAGGAAAACAATGTACGAAATCGATGGAACCGCTACTTTGAATAGACCAAAGGGACTCATTAAGGCTAAACCTGTGGCTAAGATTGTGGCCAAAACCAGACAAACGGATCCAAATGTGTTTAACCATCAAATATATGACACACAAAAGAACAATTCATTTGATAAGCGATTTGATTCGCTCTCTCAAAGTGACTTCAGTTTGCAAAACAATTACATAAGCGATGACTTGGAGTCAAACACTTACTATCAGGACATGTCTTCGCAAATCTATTCGAGTCTTAAGCGTAAGAAGACTCCTCCGCCTCCACCCAAACGAGTGAACTCAATGAGAAACACACCAAACAATTCGCCACTATATGGGGGTCAAGCGATGCCATCATTTAGTCCACATTTAGTTCACCGACAAAATTACGATCAATTTCAGGAACAAGTGTTTGCTTCTTGTGTGAAGAATTTGACGACTCGTTTCTCAATCAACAATAACTCGGACGACATGAGACCCAATGGGGGCCAAAGACAGCCCAAAGACATGGTTGACTATTCCAATGACTTCCCTCCGCCCCCTTCGCCCCTACCATTCAACGAATGCCAAAACTATAATACATTGCAGCGGAAGAGAGATAAAACGGATCGCGACTGCAATATCTCCAGTAGTTCTTCAACTGAATCGATGCCTTTTGCGAACGACAATATCGGGACAATCAAACAACGAGTTAGTATTGACTATACACACAAAGACCTACATTCGCCCTCACATTCATACACGTGTTCGGCACCGCCTTCTATGACCAGTTCTCCTTCATCTCCAACCCATCAAAATGTCACTCAAACTATTTCACCCGAAGATATTTCACCCAACGATTCAGGTATTAATAATACCGTATTATTTTGACACCTATTATAAATATGAAGCGCTAAACGATTATTTCAATTAATAGATCCCAAAGTACTTATGAATATTCTATCGCCTGTTAGACACCGGGCTATTGATCACCAAAGGTATGGTCATTGACTTGAATTGTTTGTGATTTTGTAATCTATAAGTATTATATGAATATTTTGATAGAATGGGTGTAAAGAGTAGCGCCACTGCATCTGGAATGAGAGCCAATCCATTGGATCCGTTGGATGACATCGAGACAATGCTTGTGAATCTGTCCAATCAATTGGATCTAATGCTCGAAACAGATCACAGCAAACGTACTAACAATTAATGTTTGACTTCAAAGGATTAATACCTTTGAGTACGAAATCAAAACTATAAAATTCAATACAATATATAAGTCAAACTTAATAGTGATTTATTAAGACATCAAAAATGTTTTATTTATACCTTTGAGAGCGTGTAGTCATATATACAGATATACAGTATTCATATATAACATACATATTATAAACTAAAGCCTAATTATTTTAGAAAATCTTTTTAGAGAGAAATTTATAGTATTTTTTAATAAATAGTTCCGCAAATCAATTGTATTTATAACTAGTCTTTACTCTAAATGAATGTACAGTTGGAAGACTTTCCATTGTTTTTATCATTTTATAAAACTCATCACTTAATAAGAATTTCTTCATTATATTTCAATATTTAAAACTATGTAAACATAGGGTTATGTCCATCAGAATAGAGCCATAGATGAGAATCATTTATAACAATCTAACGAGAAAATCATTAGTAAACAGGAAAGCCTGCACTTAATTGAAACATTCATACAGTAATATATTAAATATATGAATGCCTTTTCTACACATTGAACTAAACAAGAGTTGGCTATTAAACCCTTTACTGCACTCATTCATTGGTGTTTGTGTTAAATATCAAGGGATACAAATCGAGTGGAATTTAATATTAAATTATTGTTACGATAAAATGCATTCAAATTTTCCCCTTTTTGCGAAACTTTGCAAATCAAAAGATTTTAAAATTAAATTAATTTAAATGTTTGAGTTATTAGTTTTGAATTCATTTAATTTGACGACAAATAGCAATGAATGCATTTAATTCACTGCACACTACATATAACTGCAATTCAATTATTGAATGAAATTGAATTTTAATATAAATCATTAATAATTAAGATTTACTTTTTATTCAATTTATTATATGAAATAAAGTCCAAAACGATTGCATGTTTTATTGCAATTTAGCATTTGATATGATTTCAACTGATTTTCTTAAAATTGTTATAAAATTGAAACAAATTTTGATGAAAAAATATTTAAAGTTATTATTCAGATAATTATAATATAAAATATTTATATATTGATTAAAATGTATTATTATTATTGCATTTACAATGTTTTACAGAAACAATGTTAATAATTATTAGACGATTCAGTATTAATTATACTCTTTATATGTGTTTTGAAATTTTATTTAATCAACAAATTTGGTAATAATTAAAATTTTTATAAAAGCCTGAAAACAATAATATGGTCTTTGATTGTATAGAAATGATAATTATTATATAATTATAAAATAGATGTATATATATTAAGATCTCTTACTTTTTTCTAATAAAAAATATTGTAATCAATTTGTCATTATTTATTCATTGTATCGTTTCGAGGGCTCAATGGCTACCAATGGTCAGCACAACTTTCATGTTCCTAATGTCAATTGTTAAGTAAATGTTGTAAACATGATGCATTTATAAACCAAATGTGCATGAATCAATTGTTTCAATCCTGTTTACGACACATCAAATGTGTTTTCAGGTCTGTTTCTTAAATATAAGATTAATTGTAAATAAGACTTGAATTTTATTTGTTTAAATTCTTGAATAATTAGACGATTAGTAAATGAGTTTTATTAACGTTAACCTATTTTTGCTGATATTTTTTGTTTGACAAACATTTGAAGTCTTTATTTAATGATTTAAAACCTACTATTTTATAGGAATTTTGATAATTCTCCAGATATTTAGTGAACGAATTAAAACAGAACTAAAGCTAAGAATTTTAATGATTGAAAATGAAGTTAAAGATTGAAAATGTGTTTCGAGTGCACATCAATGTTAACTGAATTTAGAAATAATTGTAATTAAATATATGTTTAGAACTCATACTATATATACAAAAGTGTTGAATAATTATAACTCTATGCTTATCACAGAATTTGGTGCAACTATTGACTCGAGTGATTGATTTGAGTGTAGATTTAGTGCTAATAAAATAGCTATCATTCATAACTGCACTCAAATGTTGTGTTCATTAAAAACCTGTTCTTCTATTAACTATTGAAATATTTATTCAATAGAGTCTTAACTCTCTATTAATTAATGAGAAACTAATTAATCAAAAAATTGTTGTAAATGTATATAAAAGCCGAAACTAATTCAAGTAATATTTGAAAGAGATTCTCCTCTTTGATAACAAGTGTTTTAAATAAAATAAAACATTGAAAAAGAAGATTTTGTTTAAGAATACAATATAAAACATTATATCAGTTATCAATGATTTAACAAATTAATATTATTATATAATACTTTCATATGTAATACAATTCTTATAAATTATAACATTCGTATTAAAGATCATATGTTAATTGTTATGTACATTACATTGTATAATCTAAACTACAAAGATTTTAATACCTATACTAGATTTCAATAGTATTTAGAATTTAATATTCTAACTTGTAAGCATAAAGATATAGACGATGAAGATCAAAATATTAATATTAGTTTAAAATTTAAACTTTAAATCTAATTCATGATTTTTTGCTTTTACATTTAAAATCACTTTTCATTGTTTCAATTATTATATTAAAAAAGTTGCCTTATTAATAATTATGTTGTTTTATGAATTTTTAATTAAAGTTAACTATTTGTTGATTAGTCGATAAAATTATAAATGTTAATAAAGCATTATAACAACAAATGTTAAACATTGTATTTTGATAAAACTTAAGATAAACTGGTTTTTCAAAATCTCTCTCTCTCTCTCTCTCTCTCTCTCTCTCTCT